TCGGACTTGATGATCTGTCCAGGTCCCTTCCGACCCTACAAACCACGAAACTATGAAACTATGAAATTCACTTCTCTAAAAACAGAGAAAACTACTTCAATATACTGCAGTTAATGGAAGTTTCTACTTCAAAATTTCCATTGGGTATTATTTCTTAGTATCATGTCAATTCTTTTAACCTATTTAACAAGTAGTCATAATTTGAAATAAATTCTAAATTTTGTTATCCAGGCATGGAAGTCTTAACTCCTTTTCTGTAAACGAATATAATGCAATCATTAAATCAATCAACATAGACAAAAATCTGTTTTAGTACTGCAAGTTGCTATGGCAACAACTAGAATGTCTACAAAGACTTAGCTTCATTTTATGAATAAGGAGGAGGATCACAATACTGCAAAGAGTAACGCTTGCACTTGTATCATCCTCATTTATGCACAGGAACAATAGAGATTTGATTTTATTTGGATCAGTTTACCTTAAAACTTCATACCATTCCCTCCAAGTCAGACTGTTAGAGGCCTGAGTTTTGAGAGTGACCTTAACAAATCCCGTTCCCCTAGTTCAACAACAGGTAAAAACTGTGAAATGAAGATTTTAGTGTCTAGGGGTCATGAGTTGCTATCTGTGTGGATGTGTAACAGGCTGGGGGAACAAGACCATAGATTATAGTAAAAATGAAGACTATAATGAAAAGAATGACAGGACTCTACCAGATTGGTCTAAAAATAGTCTCATTTCACACAAAGCATTTCAACTTGAAAAGTATAATTATCTGTAAAACTAACAGCTCCATCTAGAGTTCAAAGAGCAGGTATTATTGAATGAAACTGCTAACATATATTACAAGTAGCAGGGTCTTGTATACATGACTTCTATAAAAAAATCTAACACACACAGCATGAGACCTTCGCTTTTCTGCCAATACAATGTTAACTACATTACATCTTTGTCTCAAGCACAGTCACTTTTCTTACAATATAAAAGTGTTGTTGATCTATTAGTTAACATAAATTAAATAAATATTTTTTATTTTTAAGGATAATTTGCAAAATGTTTAACCTAATTATATAACTGTTTTGACAGGCACTTCAGCATCTGGAAGGGATTTTCCAACTAAATAAAACTATATTTTAATATAAATACATTTTAAAAGGCTACTTGGCTGTGTAGAAATTACTTAATCTTTTCCTTTTGAAATTTAATTTTTTTTTTTTTGTAAAAACACAACAAGCGCAGAACGTCAAATTAGAGTAACACATTAAGAACAAAATCCTGCCCTCATTCACACTCTGTAGACTCCCTAGATATCAGAGGAGTGTATGCAGTGTGAAACCCTGGTCCCATGGAGTAGATGGGAGTTCTGCACTGAATAAATGTTATCTGGATTTCACCCACAGGATACAAAACAGAGCATAGTATAGCCCTAAAGCTCTAACTAACACAACAAAGACTTACAGATAGTTAATCTTAAGCAAATAAGTATTCCCACTGATTACCCTATGTCTTATACATATTAAGGCTTTGTGAGAATGCTCAAGGCTTTGTGGGAATGGGACATGCAATACTGCCTTCAGGGGTCAGTAACATTTTCTGGCAGTAGGGTAGCATGAGTCAATTTGAGTAAGAGGCAGGTAGGCACTAGGACCCACTCACTTCCACCTTCCACAGTATAACACACGCAGAGCTCCCCCTCTGCAAAGCCCCTTGCACCTGGCTGTGGAGTGACCTAGGCTGTCCCTCGCCACTGAGTACCACTGAAGTTATGGCTCCACAGGCTGGATCCAAAGACTCTGTGGGCCAGAGGCTGCTGACACGTGCATAACTTCATTTCTACCTACTCCTATTAAATGCCTGATCCTGTATGCTGTTACTCCTATTGGTAGTGCAATTAATTATGCAGGAGGACCCATTTCTATATTGGCTTTAAGGTATGTTTCTTTATATGAAATTTCCTGTTCTCTATATCCTCATTTTAAACTTTACTAATAATTAGAGACAGTTAGAGGCATATGGAAAAAAATAAAGGAAAGCTCCACTACAATGATATTGTAAAGACTTCCCTTTTTTAATCTAATGTTATGGGCTATACAAACTTGCATTACTCAATACCTTAAAAAGGTTAGGAGAAAAATATTCCTAATGTTATTTCAGTGGAATGATTTAAATTAAAATATGTATTTATATAATAGATATATATACTTTAATTTTATAATAGTATTATAATAATATAATAGTAATATAAATACATTGCCTTGAGCATTCAGAGTATATTCTTCAGAAATACAATGGCTCACAGGTCACTGTATTCCTAGCATCTCCAGACCCATACTTTCTAGGGATGTACTGACAAAAGTTTTTTGGGCCAATAGTGAGGGCCAATTATTAA